GATGAGGACGTGCCTGCGGGGGGAGACGCGGCGTGAGCCCCCGGGGCCCCTCAGCCTGCGCCTCCCCGCGGGCCGCGAGCACAGGCCGCCTCTTCCAAGAAGCAGCGGGGAGGGTGGCCCACAATCCCCCCACCCCCGACAGCAGGAGCATGATAAATCCTGAGCCAGCAAGGCTTCTTTTAGAATGTTCTAAAATACTCTGGCCTGGTAACAGGTAGGAGGGGTGGGGACGTGCAAATACCTTTGGGGCTCGACCTGGAAGACTGAGGCCCAAGGATTTAAAACAGACAGTAAGGATGGACACGACTGAGGAGCACGTGGGATTCGTCCCCACCTACTCACTCAATAACTGGCTGCAGAGAGCCCATGCCCTTCATCACGGGTAATTTTATACTGATTCAACTGATTTTGCAATTTAGTAAGAAACATTTTTTAAAATCCTTACTGTGTCTCTAAAAACATTTTGTATCAATCTTTATCATGCAAGGGAGCATTTAAAGGCATGTAACCCTTCTCTAAATCTTTTATTGAAACTTAATTCCAGATAAATTAAAGATTTAAAATACATCCTAAAAATATTTAAAGAAAAAGTTTTATAAACTTTAATGGGGGAGGTCTTAAAATGACACAGAGTTCAGAAACCCTAAAGGGAAAGGATGTGATAGCCACACGTAATGCATGTAAAGAGGTGTTAAAAACACATATAATAAAGATGGTTGGAAGTGTGCTACCAGTTTACTTAGCTGAGATGTGTCATTTAAGGGGTCTCAGCCATACTGTAATGCATGTAGACGGGAGGAAAAAAACCTGGAGCAAAGATTGACAGATGGGAGGACATGAAAGTTTACAACCGGTATGGCACAAAATATCATGAACACACTGAAAGATGAATGGGAAACTGGGGTGAAATATTTGCACCATATGACAGAGCTAAAATCTCTATATTACAAACAACCCTAAAAAGGAAATCACTTCATAGGATGCTGGGGATTTGCTTTGCAATAATGAGGGTAAGGGGTGGGTAGTGGTTGAGGCTGGCATGAACGAGATTGGCCTCAAGCAGATGATACTGAAGCTAGGTGTTGCCTACCTGGGGGCTCTGTACTTTGGAAAATGCTTGTACATAATAATGACTGTCTACTATGTGTCAGGCACTAGGTGCTGGATATAAATTTTTAAAAAAACACTCCACAGGGGTGACAAACTTAAAAGGCACAATTTAAAAGAGGAAAGATATAGTAAATTTATATTTGAGAATATGCCCAATAATACTAATTTTTTAAAAGACAAAAAAATAGAATTTTTTTCAACTAGTAACAAAGGTCTTTAAAATTAATAATATCCAGTATATGTGAAAGTGCCTTTTAGCTACACTATCTTATGACTGTAGTGAAAAGTATTAATTAGTGTATCATCTTTGGATTTGGCAAACTTTTATAACCTAAAGGGTTATAAAATTTTTATAACCTAAGGAAACAGTCAGGCATGTGAACAAATAGAGATGTTCACTATTAATTGTTTGTAAAAAGTGAAAAGTAACTTATATATCCATTAACAGAGAGGTTGGTTAAATGAATTACAAAGCATCCATATTGTAAAATGACACAGGTTGATGAAGATAACATGTACGCGTTGCTGAGGAAAGTTGTCCGTGATCTAGTATTTGGTTTAAACAACACAAGAAGGACTAGTTTGCATCATGTACAGGATGATGCTATTTTTGTTTTTAAAAAGTAAAATTCGAGAAATATATATAAAACACATGTAAGGATATACTTCAGGCTGTTAACAATTGTTCTCTCTTTGGACAGAATTACGAAAGCCTCTCTTTCTACACTTCCCTGTTTAAATGTGTTATAATAAAGAAATAGATGTCACTTTATAACTGGGACCAAAAAATATGTGCACCAGATTTAAAAAAATCTATGTTTGAGCCAGTTACAAGCCTACTTCTGAATTGTACTTACATCATTAGTGTGATCAGGGAACTTGGACCAATTTGAAAACGTACTCTAGCTTGAAGGAGGTTCTATTTACATAGGTGGATACATTTATCAAAACTTACCAAAGTACACACTTGAAATATGTGCATTTTCTTACCTGTAAATTATAACTAAAATGTATTAAGTGTATAAATACTCTAATGGGCGTCGAGGTTGAACCTAAGAAATATTAGGCAACAGGTGGATTCTGAGGTGGAATCCCCAGTGTGCTGTTTCATTTCGTCTTGTCCTTTGCAAACAGATCTGGAAGTCCCCAAGCCTTAAACTGAGAGCAGCCTGGATCTCATGGTAGATAATATACAAGGTCAAACATCCAGGGGAATTCCAGGGAACTCTTCCAAATGGCAAAGTTTTAGGCATCTCCTGGTACATGTTAAGCTTCTTCTGAATCTAGATCTAACCAAGTTTTTCCAACTCTTTACCACTAAAATTCCTCCCTGGGTGCTCTCAATTTACAAGGAACATTCTAAAGCAGATTTGCTCTTGTTCCTTCATACCTTTTGCAATCAGAAGTCCTGGAGGACAGAGAGGGAGAGGTGACGCTGGGTTTGGAGCAGAAGTGGTTCCCAGGAAGAAAGCCACTCAGTTTCCTCCTCGGCTCTCTGAATATAGGATTCTGCGTGCAGTTTTGTAACCTTCACTTTAACCTAACAGTGTATCCTGAGCCTTCTAAACTATACATGCTCTAATTCTCTAAACCAGCTCCAAGGCTGGTTTTATGTAACTGGGTGGGGGTGGGGTGACGCTGAACAACTCACCTTACTTCCCAGGGTTTCTGTCTCCACCCATCAGATGAGTGGGTGAGACTGTCCCTAGGTGACCTGTGAGGCCCATGCCTTCCCCTGGTACTCAGGCCCAAAAGGTGTGCTTGCTTCCTCTCGGGGACCATCCTGTCCCCAGTCATATCTGTCCCCAGCCTCCCCCATCTTCCCCTACCCTGGAGATCTAGCTAGAGCTCAGGTTACGGAGTTGGTTTTCCAGCTCCTTTCTGCTTTAATGATGGAGCCGGAGGTGAGAGACCACCAACGTGAAGCGCAGCCAACCAGGTCGTTTTGCTCTGATGAAGCCGGCTCCCCGGGGCTGCTCCTGCTTTTGACAAAACTTTCTGCTGCTTCTGAAACGTCTGACAGTCTATGTGAAGAAAGCAGGCACCCAGGCTCTGCTCCATCCCCTGTGCACACCTGTGCACCCTGCAGGGAGGTCAGAGCCCACAGCCAGTGTAGACCCCGCCTCATCACCACCCCTCCCACCCCCAACCCTAGGGCCGGGCTCACCACACGCAGTGCAGGTAGGGAAAGTGGACGGACGACAGCAGCTCACAGAAGGCCCGGTCACTGATCCAGCAGAAGAGGGCGAGGGTCCACCAGAGGCCGGAGAAGAGGCCCAGCTTAAATACACGCACGTTGTCGCACCTGCCCGGGGACGCAGAGAAGAGCTGGCGTCAGTCCTGCTCTCCTCCGGCCTCGCTGGCCACTTCTCCTCCGGTTCCTCACACCTCCCGGGCCCTTGGCACTGGGCTTCCCACCTGCCATCCCGTCACCCCCTGTGCTGATGGATGTAGACAGCACATGGACCCCAGTGGTTCACAAAGCCGCACTCCTCACCCAGGCCTCTCCCTGACTCCAGACTCACACACCACATGTCACATCTTGACATGTCCGCCTGATGTCCCACACTGATCTAAATATAACATGTCTACCTCGAACTCCAGATCCTTCCTTCTGCCCAAATCCTGTTTGCTCCCAACCCTCTCAGGGAAAGGTCAGTCCGTGCTTTCAGATGCTCAGGCCAAGAATCTTCCAGTCGTTCTGTTTCTCACACATCCCACATCCAACCCATCAGCTCTACCTTCCAAATATATCCCAGATCCAACCTCTTCCAATCACCTCCACTTGCATCTAAGCCACCAGCATCTCTTCCTGAGTTATGGCAGTCACCTCCGGCTGCCCTTGCTCCTACTCACCTCTCAACACTCTGCCCCAGAGCCTCCCGCATCTCCCCTTTTCCCAGGGAAAAGCCATAGTGCTCACGGAGCCACGAGGCCCCAGTGTGCTGGCGTCTCCTGTGCCCTCCACCCCCCTCCTTTATACTCTGCCCCTCGCTGCCTCTGCTCATCACCCCCCAGGGACCTTTGCTATCCCTCAAATATCCGAGCATGTTCCTCCAGGCCTTAGCATTTGCTGTTCCTACCACCTGGAATGCTGTTCCCGGATAAGACACAGCTCACCATGTCCAGGTCTTTGCCCAGCGTCGCTTGTAAGCCCTGTGATGATCCCTGCCTTTAACAGCTGCACCAGCCCTCTCCAGCCACTAGGCGGCCCTCGCTATCACCTTCCTTCCTCTGCTTTTCTCTGTAGCCATTATAGCCCCTCTGACATCCTGTTTTACTTTTCTGTTTATGGCCTGTCTCCCCCACCAGCACGTAAGCTGCTCGCTGCTGCACCTCCAGCCCCTGGAACAGCGCCAGGCACACAGAAGGCTCTCACTATTGCCTGAATGAAGGGATGCGCTCTGACATACCCTGGGACAAAATGTGCTTCGGAAACAATTCCCAACAGCTCAAAGGAAATTTCAACTGCCGTTTTCTTTCCTTGTTACCAAACTGCTCTCTAAGTGGGTGACTTCTGTTTCTCCGGGGAGAAATGCCCAGAGGCAGTTGGTGGCTGAAGGTCCTTCTAAACCTTCCCTGAGGGTCTCTTTCCCTAACAGATCACTCCCTGATCAGCTGAGCTCCCTCACTCTCAGGCCTCAGCGTCCAGCGTAACATCTGCACCCAAGGTTTATTGTTGAACAAATAAACGGTGCCAGAAGCCTGACTTGCTGGCGCCTTTCCAGCTTCCTGACAGAAACATCAGCAAAAGCATCAGTGAAAACGAGACAGACAGCAGGTCAGAAGGACTTCAGAAGGCACACCAGCAAACCCTGTCGGCAGGAGGGCTGAACGCAGCCCTGGGCAGCTTCCTTGAAAGAATTCATAGAGGCCTGTGGTACACTCTCCTGTTTAGTGACTAAAACAAAGAGATGAACAATGTCCATTTTTCTCCTCAGCACACCCGCCTCCGCAGGGCTCGTCCTCGGACCCACGTCCCCTCCCTCCGCCCATCTTTCCATCTCTGCAGGTCTTGGCTTCAAGAGCATTTTCTCGAATAGACATTCTCTGACAGCCCCCAGCACCATCTCACTCCCCATCATGTTCTCTCCTGATGCCCTGTCATTTTCCCTAACGCTCATCACAAGCTAAAACTGTTTGCTTGTGTAACTGTTTAGCATCCAGTATCCAACTAGACTGTAAGACCAATGAGAGTGGGAACTGTACCTGTTTTTTTCTTATCAATGTATATGCAGTGCCCAGCAACAGTGCCCGGCCCAGAACAGACACTAAAAAAGAGGCTTGCTAAATGAATAGATAATAAGGAAGTGAAGGACGATTTTAATTGGTTTCTAGTGTTCTGGACAGGACACTTTTTAGATTAAAAGAAAAACACAGTAACCATAGTGACTGGGTACCACATTTTCAGAATCCACCCTGGGCACCGTAAAAGACACAACAGCAGCCTCTTGCCTTGCCACTTTAAAAGGGAAAATGAACGCCGACAAAAGAAATACTAACAAATGCGTAGATAATGAGTCTGGCACAAGAACCACATAGACTTAGTTTAACTAAACCTAGGAAGTCTGACTCAAGGACCACACGGACACAGAGCTGTAGGGGCAGGACAGGCGGACAGGCCGGGAGGCGCGGAAGGCGCGGGGCGGCCGCCTACGAAGCCGTGTGGAGCCTGGGACTCAAGGCACCTGGTACTGTCCCTTCCTCTGCTTCTAGAAGGCCGGGTCCGGCTATATGCTGCTGCCCCGGCTGACATGAACTTCGGGCTTGTCCAAACCCGCGCTCCCACCGGGTTTTATCCCCACTTTTCAGGGCTTACGTCACCGTGTCAGTGTGAGGTTAAGTGGAAAAAGCAGGATGAAGGTCCTGTACGTACAGCAGGGCCCTATTTTTGGATAGAAAAACTGAGAAAGGGGCTGCCATTCCTTTTTTTTCTTGACACTCTGTAGTTCTCAGAGTTTTCCTTAATGATAAATTGACCCCTATAATCAGAGCAGAAGTCTATTTCAAAATATTTTCAGCATGGTTGAGTCACTTGGTGATGTGACAACACAAATTTCAGAAAACATCAGGTCATGACCCCAAGTCGTCATCAAATCTGTTTCCTCTTGGTCTGAGAGAAGGTTTAGTAAGGACGGTGAAAATACAGAAAGACTAGAAACAAGCCCTAGGAATGAGGCTTACGGGAAACAGAAAGCGAAAAACCAGTCCCGCCCCTGTTTCTTCTGAGCAGAGGGAGTTGGGATGAGAGACCTTTAGCTGAGATGTTGCAGATCACTGCTGATGACAAGCAGGGAAGGTTCTGGAAGGACATGCCAAGAGTGGCAGGGCATCCTCCTGTCTGGGAATGTTACCAAAGCAGGCCAACAGCCATCTCCTCCTTCCTTGTCATGACTCGGGTCGGAACCGGGACACAGCAGTGAGTGCAGGCCTCGTCCCTGCCCACATGGAGTCATGTCACGCAAAGGAGACACTGAACAAAACAACAGTGCAAATCATCTTTTAACTACAGTCAGGATGGGGCTGTAAAGGAGAAGTCTGAGGTGCTGTGAGAACATAGAAATGGTTGAGCTAAAACCTGAAGGATAAGGAGAAGTGCACCAAGCAGGCAAGTCAGAAAGAAGGGACAATGTGAACACAGACCTGGGGCTGGAAGGAGCCAGGCCCCTGGGGGACGTGGGTGGTCAGAATGGCTGGAGGATGGAACGGAAGGGGAGTTTCCAGTGGGAGAGATCCACGGGCGGGGGCCACATGGAGGATTCTGAACTTTATCTTAATTGCAATGTCCACCAGTAAAAAAAAAAAATGACTGTGATCAGATGAGAGGCTCAGGGAAGGAAGAGGAAGCCAAACTTTTGGCTGGAGCCAATGGGTAAATGGTGCAGCTGGAAATCTTGAGAGTGAGAACTAGAATCTGGGTTTGGAAAAGTTGGATTTGAGGTGCCTGTGGCACGTGGACTTGGAGAGGTCAGGTAGGCAGCTAGATACACAGTGGTGGAGATGGAAGGAAGGACTGGGCTGGAGGCAGGAGCCGGGAGCTATTCACATCTGTACAGGAACTGAAGCCAGGGGTAGATGAGAGCTTTCAGGGGGAAGGACAGAGGGAGAAAAGCAGAGAGGTGACAGTGCACCTCATGGGATCCATACACGCGAAGAAGGAGCTGACGTGACAGGTTGAAGAGGAGACAGACATGGCAGAAACTCAGGAGGGTGTGGTGTCATAGGAATCATGGGAAAGAATGTTCCAAGGATGGAGGGTGGGGTGAATTGTGCAAACAGCTGAAAGAACAACATGTAAGATTCAGGAGGATCAAAAAATGATCATCAGATGTACGACCAAGAGGGGTTTGGGTATCTAAGTTGGGGAAGCAACCAGACAGGAGTGGCATGTAGAGGAAAGGAGAGGTGAGGGATGGAGACAACTTTTAAAGAATTGTGGCGGTGACATACGAGAGAGGAGGGGTAGTGGCTGGAAACAATGTGACTGAGCCCAGGCTGGGTGTTAGAGAAGATGAGAGAGACAAATGTTTTTCCAGGCTAATAGGAGGATCGTCTGGAGAGGGAGGGTGACATGGTAGACAACTCACAAGAGTAAAGCAGGCATAGGAGAATGGAGGGAATCCTCACTAGGTAGAAAGACTGACCCTAGATGGAAGGAGGGATGTTCCCATGATGTTGCAGTTGGCTAATGTCATGATAAGGACAAATTCACTGTTGTGATGACCAGCTTTCCAGGAGCAAAGATTCTAAGTATGGAACAGAAATTGCTTCCTTTATAATTACTTAGAAAGATAGTGTATTAAGGGAAGATATTTTTCCCTGCTTAGAGATCACAGCTGTGAAGCAGAATTTCACCTATAAAGTCATCTGCCCTAACCACGGGTCCTTCCCCATTTGTTCTTATGCAGATAATAGGAATTTAAAAGTTTCCCTTTCCTTAAGTTATTTAACACAATTATAGGCTAAAACAGATTATTAGACTCAGGAGTTAAAATGAAACTAGATTAGGGGGAGGGTATAGCTCAGTGGCAGAGTGCCTGCTTGGCAGGCACCAGGTCCTGGGTTCAACCCCAGTACCTCCATTAAAAAGTATATAAATCTAATTACCTCCCCCACAAAAAAATAAAATAAAATGAAACTAGATTGCAGTGAATTCTCAAGAAGCATGACTACGTTCAGAACATCCCATTCACATCAGGCCTAATATCAGCTGTCGCCACTGGACTGAGGTTACAAATCCATTTCAGATGTCTTTATGAGCAATTTAATTCTTTTCCAAAGAGCTTCAAGTTCTGTCAGTGTTCTGAAATGGGTCTCTTCCTTCACCAGTTCTTGAAGACTATTCAGAGAACCCAGTAAGACAAGACATGACAGAGTCCTTCCATGACAGCCAACAACTTTAAATACCTCTTCAGCCACCTTTGACCCTGCCTGGTATTGCTGACAATCAGAACAAACCCCAGGGGCAAAAAGCAACGGAAGCAAATAAATACATGTCTCCAATCAAAACGAAGACTGAGAGAAAGCTGACAACATATAACACAGAGAAATTCTCACGAAGGGGGATAAATAATAAGACTTCATTTAAGACCACCTATGTCCATGACAATGAGTCATCAATTCAAATGCATTTCTGAAAGGGCGTGCAAAGAAAAAGAAGCATTTTCAAAGAGGATTATTACAGTAAGTGCAGTGTTAGATGTGTTTTAGTTGGGGCTAGAAGAAGTTGGTCATATACTCACAAGAGCTAAACTAAAATATTTCTAGATATCATCCTGAACTCTGAGCATACAACTTCACAAGGGAAAGTGCTTATGCAAATAGCAAAGGCTTTACCTGATAGATCGTAAAGGAGAAACTGAGCCTCAGAAAGTAGCAATGTTGCTTTGTATGTAGACGTTAATTTCTTTCCTCCTTATTCTTGTCATATGAACATGTCTCTTCTCCTTTCTACAAAATTAAGTCTAGGCAGCTGGGTCGAGGCACTCACCAGGTCCTGGAGTTGTCCTTGCTAAGCTACTTTTGGATCACTGGGACGCACTGCATCCACTAAACAGCTGCGCCCCGCTTTCCGAAAATGAGATCATTAGCACTTGGAACAAAACCATCCAACTTGATTCCAATCCAATAGTCAGGAACTAATTCTTTGAAGGGTAACTCCTCTTCCACACTCAAAGGCAATCAAAGAAGCGGGAGCTGATGTGCTGCTATCCCAGGGCCAGGCAGGAAGAGCTGCACCCACCTCCTTAGCTCTGCAATGAGCAGCGCAGTGCAAGGGACGCCCAGGGTCATCAGAGAGATGTTGTTGATGGCGGGCTTGACAAATGCCAGGCACGTTGTAACGGCAGACAGGACGCAGACCACCGCCTTGAACCTGCCCCTACGTGGGTCAAAGCAAACCAAAACCATTAGCAAAGGAGACCTTGTTTGTTTGTTGAACGCTGGCAAAGTACAGGCACGGTGGAGAGAAATTCTGCACCAAGTACCAGGAGTCTAAACACCATTCTCACTGGCTCAGTGATTCTAGGAATGTATCCTTCGGATTTGATTGTCAGAAAATTTCAAAATATTTAGCCATGAAAATCGCAAAATTAGAATCAACCTAAGGGGGAGATAAGGATACTTGTTTTCTTAGTGGAACCTTCCTTTATTTTTTTTTTTCAGATCTTTTACAGCATGACAAAGAGTCAGACAGTAAATATTTTAGGTTTTGCAGGTCCTAGGGTCTCTGTCACAACTATCAACTCTGCCACTATAGACAGTAAATAAGCGAAAGGGCATGGCTGTGCCCCAATAAAACTTGATTTGCAAAAACAGGCAAGGGACCCACGTGGCCGAAGAATGCAGTCAGCTAACTCCTGTTCTACACGGTGAACAGGTATGACTTTCATCAGAAAAACAAAGACCATCTACAAACCATGAAACTTCCCAGTCTGAAAGAAAATAATGTCCTCTGTGTCTAACACACAAAAGTGGAAGTCTTAAATTCTAGTGTCTGTATACTGACAACCCAGTCTACTATGCATTGGAATTTTGTGTTAACTTTTGATGTGACGAATCTTAGAAAAATAGTTGATACCATCCTGACACCCTTTGGTGAAGGTGCTTTCGGTAGAAAGAGCCAGATGTGGCGACGTGATCCTGGACACGCTCCTCCTTCCCTCCCTGGGACTCCATTTCCTTATCTATAAAATGAAAAGTCTGGACTAGATGACCTCTAAGGCCATATCCATGGCTGAAATTTAGGAGCACATGATTTTCCTGAAGTTTCTGTTACTCCTCATTAGCACAATTTACTTTGGCCAAGAGCCCTGGATCGGGTGACAGTTAGGAAGCTCATTTGAATGAAATTCCATTATAAAGAAATCAAAGTGCACTGAAACCTTCAAAACACAAATGTATCTCTTAAAGAGGAAAACTATTTATCATCAAGGCACAGGAAATCATTGATCAAGCTGCCAACTTTCTGCCTGGAAAGAACAGGAATTGTAGCCCTGAACTTTGACCAGAAGGGAAAAATGTATGGGAAAGGAGCCAGGCAGCAAATCCTCAGGAGAATCGTGTTTTTCCTCCTGCCTTGGCGGGCATCCTTCAGCTACCAGATAAGTCTGCGGCTCAGCCTGGGGATGATGACAGCCTCACACAGCCCCAACTCCTGTCATGTGCATGGCCCTTGGGGACCCACAGTAACTCCAGCACTGGGTTTGAGGTTCTATGACACATGTCACGGCTTGTTGGCCTTACTAGATTGCATAAACACACAATCAGATATGCTCAAATTGCATCACGGCCCTGTAACCAAGAGTTTAAAATTCGGACACAGGATAGTGAGAACAACAGTGACTGAAGCCCAGGGATTCCAGCGAGACCCACGTATGTTCACGTTCCGCCTCCATCACTTAGTTAGCTGTGGGATCTCTGGCAAGCCACTAACTCCCCGAGCTTCAGATTTTCCACATGGGAATCAAGACACCTGCCTCGTGGTATTCTCACAAGCGTGAGAGCGCTCAGCATAGTGCCTGGTACGTGGCATGTGCTAGTAAAATCCACTATTACTGCTATCATGACCATCACTTGAGATTAAACATCATTTTAAATAATAACGTTGCTGATTATATCACAGCTGCAGTCACCACGGACTCTGTATAGTCCTGCCAAAGAGTTCAAAGGCAGCAAGCCTGACCAAACATGCTTTCTTTGAGGGGAACGTGGGCAGACACCTCCCCTCCGCTCCCCGGAGGGTGTGGAGGTAAGTGCTTCTGGAAGGTGGCTTAACCAACGAGGGCTCAAACATAGCCTATTTAGAACAAGCCCCTGATATTCACAGGACTCCAGTATTTGGTCCTGGAAGGTCCACCCCTGTCATTTTATAAGTAAGGAACTGATACGGCCCAGAGAGGCTAAGGTGGTGGCCCCAAGCCAACCAGCCAGAGTGAGAGCAGATCGGGCCGACCCCAGCCTGCAACCTTGCTACTCGGGATTCAAAAACTGACCTGGACCGCCAAGTGAGGGCAGTCCCTAGATTTTGTGGAGGCAAAATCATAAAAGTCACAGCAGAATAAATTCTTTAGAAAATGGATACAATTAGTCTATAAGAATCCCTGTTTTTTTCTCAAAACAAAAATGTCAAACTATCAATTCTCATGAACAGCTGAGTGTATATCCTGACAATTCTTAGGACATTATAGGCAAAGTGAAATAAAGCCACTTTTTAAAAACCCACCAATTATTCCTATTTATAAAGTGAATCTTATTAATTTCCCTGCTGTTCTAGGCAGATTTACCTGCAAAATACTTATCCGAATTAGCTATTCATAGTAACTACTAGCACTTAAGTCTTCACTCAGTAAGACACTATACTACACACTTCAGGATTTTCCCATATATTTCTAACCCCCTGAGGTAGACACTTTTACTATCGCCATTTTACAGATGAGTAAAACGATGTATCAGAGCTTTAAAAAAAAGAAAGTGGGCTGTTATTCAAATCCATATTTGTCTGATCCAAAGTCACTTAGTCACCATATTCTACCCTCCCTTCTCCAGAAATCTCACACTGGAACTACTCCTAATATGTTTTTAGAAATACTCTGGCAAAGTCTAGATCTTACACACACACAGAAATCTTCACAATCTTGTAAGTCAGGCAGCTAAACCACATAGTCCCCAGTCTCCAGAAATCCTGCTTTTGACCTGAACTCCTCGGCCTGGCCCGCCATTCCACTGCAGAGCTGGCGCCTGCCCCCGCGTCCCTGGCGGGGAGGCCCACACAAAGGGGTCTGGCCTGCTTGCCTTGTTCTCCTCGTTACCGGAAAATTGAAAGCAGACAAATAGACTTGAAATCCTTATTTAGAGTGAGCGAGTTTTCCTGTAAGATGGACTTTTTCTTTCTTTGCTCATTAAGATCATCAATGTTCATTCTCTCCTTCAACATGTATGCATATCTCAGAAATGCCAGGCGGAAATCTCCACGTGCCGTTGGTAGTAACTACAGCTCCCTCGGACGGGGCGCCCCACCATGTGCTCAGTACTACAGGAAGTCCTCTGCAGGGTCAGCTCACAAGAACCTTGAGGTGAACACGATTATTACGCCTAATTCTACAGATAAGGAAATAGAAAGTTAAAGAGTCAAGACAGGGGCGAGGGTGGGTACGGCTCAGTGGTAGAGCGCATTAAAAACAAATAAACCTAATTACCTTCCCCCACCAAAAAAAGTCAAGACAAGTTATATAGTTAGTAAGCAGGGAAGCTAGGATTCAAACCCAGGTAGTCTCCAGAGCCAGGGATATGGACATATATGGTGTGCTCAGTGCCTCCAAAGGAATTCCCCCAAACTGAAGACAGGGGTCACATCTTCCCCAGAGAAATAAGTCCTAGGGGGTCACAGGCCTCCTTGCCTCACAGTGTGCTTCATTATTAAAGTTGGTGAGCTTTACTTACTACAGCACTGCCCCATTTTCTTCTCTCCTGCTCCCACCTTCAAGAAACAAGAAAAGAAAAAGATTCTCTACTAGGAACATATTGCAAACTGTCCCATGGAATTTCAAACCCAGGCCTCCGGAGTACCACAAACAAATAAACAAAACCCTTATTCCCACATCTTCAACTTCTCACTGAGATCCCAGGACTTGAACGATCAGATCTAAGAGCAAAGTGGTCCCTCAGGTCTCAACCTAATGTACTGTGCTCAGGGGGAGCATGGAGGTGGCCGGTGGGCACCTCCTGAGACCAAGGCAAAGGTAAGGGATGTCAAAAAGTCCCACCAGCAAAGCCACCTCGTGCCCCTGCCGAGTGGCATCCAATTCCACCGTTGCCCTCCCCAAGCCCCACCTCCCAAGGCTTTCTGGTCACCCCCCAGTCATTCTCCTGAAGCTGAACAAGGAAACGAGACCCAGCAGCACATTGGATGAGGCTACCTCGGGTCTCTAAAGTGTACGTCCTCCATTCTGGAGAAAGTCTCAGCACCAGGGAGACCACATTTCAGCTAAGCCCAGAAACACCTTCCTTTCACGTCTTGTAAACAGCGTGCACAGGCGCGCTCTCTCATTTTTTGATAAGCAACCTCCTTGAGGTGCTATCTGCTCAATGGCACACAGAGATAATACTACTTAATTCAAGTCCTGCCGCCCAGGCTGGAGACCGTAGAGCTAATCTAAATGGAAGTATGTTTTCTCCCTACCTCATTTAAAATTCTGGTGTTAAAAATCAACATGTGCTCTTTGTTTAAAAAAAAAAACTGTATAACAGTACAGATTAAAGGTAAAAGTGAAAGTTCTGTCTCCACCCCAATTCCTAAGAATAGCCGGTGGTAGCAGGCGCTGTCCTCGTCCTCCCTGGCACTTCTGTGCGTGTACAAAGACATATACTCAAAAAGAGGCTAGTTCATTCATTCTAAAATAAGGGTGTTACACACACAGCTCTACAGTGTGCTGTTTGCAGCCAGTGTGTTTCATGGATGCTCCTCCACTTCCATCCAAGGAGAGCAGCCTCATCTTTAATAGCTGCCTGGCTCCTATTCCCATTCAGGGTACCAGGAAAACTGTTATGAAGTCTTTTATTTTTCCTAGTATAGCTCTTCCCTGGGCACACACAGCTTGCTTGATTGAATCCACATTTTTAGATTGCTTATCCATATATGGGTTTAAACAAAACACAGAGTGTACAGAGAACTGTGTGGGTGGTATGTTCTAGGAGCATTTCTCGTCTTTATAATGCTAACTCTCCTCTGTTACCTCAGTAATTAATAAACCTGCCTCAGGAAGACCTTCCCTGACCAAACTCTAAATCAGCATCCCAAGTCACCACTAGCCCCTTACCAGCTTCATTTTTCATCATGGCACTATCACACCCTAACGTTATCTGTTGATTCATAATTTCCCCAACTTCAGTGTAAGCCCATCGAGGGCAGAGACCTGGCTGTTTTGTTTACCTGCTATATCCTAGTGCCTAGAAAACTTCATAGTAAATCCTAAGTGTTCAAAAAAGAGTTGCTGGGTCAATAACCATATAAGCATAACACAATGGATATTAAAGTGCAGCCCTTCCTGAAATTCTGGGTTTCCAGCTCAGAGATGTGTGTGTGTGTAGCTCTCATCAGAAGCAAAAACGATGAAATTTGAAAACTGCAGTATCTACAGCTCCAAGAAACAATTCTTTAGTGTGGATTCTACTGGAAATGTATAAAACCGGCAGAGCTGGGCTAGACTTAAGGCAATGGTAGAGCAGAAAATCAAAGGTCTCTGAACTACCATTCAGTCCTTTCTCTTTCACTGAAAATCTTTCTAGTTTTGCTCATATCAAATAAGGGAGATATTTGACTTTTTGTCCCTAATGTCAGATAAATTCTTCCCCAAGCATAGTCAAATTACCTCTTTTATCAGTGGATATTAAACAAGTATATGAGAAGCTCATCACGAGTTTGGACTCAGTAGCGTGTGATTTTTACTTAATACATACGTCATAATAGTAGGTGCCAAACCTAGTAGTAAGTGCAAAAATGTAGTACGAGCTTACCTGTCGTTCCGAAAGATCTTTGGTAGATACCTTCTGGGGAACCACATGGCCAGAGCACACATCAGAACCCAAAGGATTGCAAGTTCATCAAGCATCTGACCCAGGAAACTAAGGGTTGCATGGAAGTAGACGGATCCAATTCCTAGAATCAATTACAACTAATAAGAAAGGTCACCGCGGAAGAACAGACCCGCAGACTCAGTACCCCGCTTAAGGACAGCCCTTCACCAACAGCTATCGCGGTCCCCAGATCGCTCCACCTCTCTGAACAAAGAGACTGAAGGAAGAAACACACACCACCTAGGCGTGCAGAATTCAAGTCTGGAAAGAGGGGTTCAGGGAGGGCCCAAACACCAGCACAGGAGAACGTGAACAATGCCACAGGTAAGCCCCCTCTGCCCGCGTCCACTGAGCCTTCGTGGGAACAGGCAGCAGAGGGAAGTCAACACTCACTGTGAAGAATTCCCAGTCTGCCTGTGGGAGGAAGTGAAAAGTATACAAGTATTTCCCAGAACAATGAAGGACCAAACATCTAGAATTGGGTTCTGTTTTTAGAATTTTAGTCCACTAGAAACCACAGTTTCATCAGAGTCCAATTGTTTCACATGACTTTTCTTCAGAAGTTCTCAGAAAATTGCACTGGCACGACACCAGGAGCTGTTACATAAACGAACTCTGAAATGCCGTTAAGTGATGATTACGGCCAACTTTGTTATGAGCCCATATTCAAAAGCGGTCCTCCTTTTGGCATCTAGCAAGCAACATAAAAGTTTGCTAAGACGTCAGAGTGACTTTGCTTTACAAAACGTAATGTTCAAAGGGGTCAGGAAGTGTGCGGAATCCCATTTCCTCCCTTTCAGCCCATGTTCGCAAATGCATCCACTTACCCACTACAACTAAAAGAGTCCAGATTAAGTAGATGCCACTGTTGAAGTATGTCGCATACTGACGAAACAAGCACATGCAGATGGGCGGTAAAATGAAAAACAAGGCGTTGCTGATCTGGGGGAGGAAATGTAAAACGAAAAGATGAATGTCAAATAAAAGGGCAAGAAATAAAGCAGCTTGTTCCCAGTATGTCCTGTGTAAATGGAGATGAATGTGGCCATACATCTTTTTTTTAACTGCAGATGTACAACCAGGCAAACTAACTTCTTTAATAACCATTGAGGGGGCTCCTTCCCACCTCTTTGGTCATGGGAGCAGCTTTTAAAATACTGCCTATGAAAGCCGCCCGGATTCCTCTCTTGATTCAAAGAAGCAATGACTTATTTTTTTTCTGCACAGATGAATTAATGAGCATACTAATTTACTTGTATAATCATTTTTAAAAATAAGGCCTGTACTAAATAATGGTTTAATAAAGAAAAGTTTCAGTGAGGAGGACTAGCCTCGGTCCAGCCCCCAGCACTTTCCCAGCAGCAAGGCCAGCCTCTTCCCCTGGGCCCACGTGAAGGCAGGACTCTTCCTCATCTCTCCCCGGGGTCACCCTTTCTCCACTTTCTCACTCTAATCAAGAACCTACTTTAAGGTAAAGAGCAAACCTGTAAGTTCCTTCCTACCAACTTTAAAATGATATCATTGTGGATTTGAGCCTGTTACCTCTTGACGGGGCCTATGAGCTACCGGTGACCCGGGGTGGGAGTTTGGATAAATTGCCTCAACTGTCCCAGGTGATATCCAGTCTCCAGTCTTGGAAATATGGCCAAGTCTCCTTTTTACCTGCCTCTCAATTAGTAAATGGATCAGGACAAGGGTCTACGCATTATCACAGCCCTTAACTTTCCATGGAATCATTTAAAGAATCAGATCTTTAAGAGTTAAAAATGAGAGACCTTAAAGACCATCCCTTGTTTCACAAGGGGATACAATTAAGGACCCAGACAGGCTCCCAGGCGGGCCAAGGTCAGAGAGGCAGTCACCCAGAGCTGGGGCTGGATGCTGGCCCTTCCACTGGCCCAAGCTGACTTTTTCCCTTCCAACCCACCCAGCCACATTCTGATCTCCTTGGCTTTATGCCTCACCTGGCTTTTAAAAATTCTGGAAAGCATCACACACTGTGCACCTATGACCTGTTATGTGATTTAAATATGGCTCTCCTTTTGTTAGACATAGACATAGAAGGAAGAAAAGGAAGTGAAGGGGGAGGAGAAGGATAAAAATGGAATTATTATACTACAGGTAACTTAAAACCTAATCTTCTTCTCCTTTCATACAGAGGTGTTCTTGTAAAAAAAAAAAAAAACATGTTACAAAGCTGAAGTCCCCTTTCTCTGCTCCTCCCTAAAAGCTCACCACTGTTCTCAGATTCAGTCCTCGTTTTCTTCGCATTTTTGTGACTACATATATATCACATACTGCAGCACTGTCATCCTGCAACTTCCTTTTCTCATTCAACAATGTGTCTTGCAAACCTTTTCCTCTTAGTTCATATAGATTTATCCTACTTGCTGTAAGTACTGCAGATGACAGCATTTTATTTAGCCCTTCCCCAGTGGAAGGCACATTGATTTACGGCCCCATCTACAATGCTGGGGATGTAATACATTCTGCTTTTTACCCCAGTACAGTTGCCCCTGGGTATCCGTGGGAGATTGGTTCCGGGGCCCCCTCGGATACCAAACTGCTGGATGCTCAAGTCCCTTATATAAAACAAGATAATATTTGCATGTAACATACACACATCTTCCCATATACTTTAATTCATCTCTAGTTTACTTATAATACCTAATACAATATAAACACTACATAAATAGTTCCCAGCATACAGCAATTCAAGCTTTCTGGAACTTTTGGGGGTTTTTTCCAAATATTTTCAACCCACAGTTGGTGGAATCTGCAGATACAGAAACATGGAATATGGAGGGCCAATTCGACGTTTACTGCCTCAGGTCCTCTCAGTGTCCCTTGCTTTGGCCAAGTGCATCTATCTATGGCCAACCTGCCCTCAAATGGCTCTTTTGATCTATGTTACCACTAGCAATGTACACATGAATCACTTTTAAATGTATTTACACACTCTTCACAAAATGTGAGGTGGTTTATTAACACCTGCAGTAAAATTATGATACTTCAAATATTAATGCACGTCTTTGGGAGTTCAATTTAGAAGCACCATTTTAACATACAGTCCCAGATAACACTGAAATCACAGTATTGCTTCTGCACAGTCCACCTACTCATGCCTGCTGGCCTCCACCATGCCTTTTAAAGACATCAATCCATGAAAAGGAAAAGACCAAATGAGAGGGAGATGCTCTCCAAGACAAAAAGAGGAAGGAACTCCTAAAGAAATAAGGAAAAGCAAACGACAGATTCAATGGCTCCGTTTCCACTGAGAAATGAAATTTCCCCTCAAAGTTGTGTGGGTCACTAAAGTTGAGCAGTTCAGCCAAGGGGTATTTTTTAAAGCCTATTGTGGGATTATCCTTTGGAGAACTGGTTTGTTTAATGCCTGCAGAACAGTTTTGTTGTTTTTTTTTTTTTAATGAAAAGGAAGGCAAAATTTTCAAATTTATCATTTCCTTAGAAAGTTCCTCATTCTATGAATTCCTACAAGACATCTGTGCCAAAATAACCTCACAAACACACTGCAGTCACATTCTGATGCATGTGAATGTGCACTTTCCCAGACAGAGGGTGAATAGTGACAAAGCAACTGGCTCTACGTTTTTCTGAACAGCAAGTTTACGAACAGCTTTAAGGGACGTTACACTGGCTGAGTAGAGGGTCTATGTATCTTAATTGTACCCAGATTCCTAACTATCCATTCCACTGCTCCCTTTCTGCCTCTGGGATGACTACTGTCCTGGTATGCCTGGCGCTGAGGCGGGTTCCCAGGACATGGAACTTACAGCTTGAAAAATGGCAAAGTCTCAGACAAACTCAGAAATCTTCCTGCAAAATTCCCCCACCCCACCCCACACAGTACACCAACCCCATGCAGAGTGCTAATAACACCTTGGTGACTTGTACACACCTCTACTATGGCCTTCACCACACAGCTGATTATTTGCAGGTCTGGTGTCTCTAATAAGGACAGTAGTTGCTCAGTAAATGGATGGATGGGCAGATAGATGGATAGAGAGATTGACAGATTGATAATGCTACCCTACAGAGAGTGGAATGTGGGCTTTGGCATACAAGAACTCTGCTTCCTTTATCTTGATGATTGGGGGCCGAGCTAACTGGGGGAGATGACAGATCATGGGCTGATTTTAGGCATATATTTTGCTTCGAGACTTTTTTCAGCATGAGTTGATTTCCTTCTGTCTACCTGAGTTCCCAGCAGAATTCCCACACGCCAAGCCCTGTGATTAAAAGGCAGACCCCTCTTCTCCAACGCTGCTAGGTCTGGGGTCTTTCTCTTTACTATGACTGGGCCTTAAAACTTAAAACATACAAAGGAACTGGATTCAATAAAATTTGTGTTTAGAAGAAACAGTACAAAATGTGCACAAGCAAAAGGCTGTGGAAGGGCAGGATGTGTTCTTGCAGGAGATATTTGAGACTGGCTGACATAAAGGACAATGACAAGATTTGAGGCAATGGAGATTTGCAGGGGTCAAAAGCAAAATGCTGTGTGCTCCCAAACATTGCCAGTGGGAACACAGATCAGGGTACACTCTCTGGGGGGGCATTTAGCAACAATTATCAGCCTTCAAAGTACATACTCCCCTTGACACAGCAATTCCCCATCTAGAATTTGTAGCACCTGGAAAAGCACATCCAGATGCCTATTTGAGGTATTCATTGCATCAGTGTTCAGAAACCAAAATGAAAACAATGAAGAAAACAGAAACTGGGGGGGAGGTGTAGAGAAGATATATATAGTTCAACTTCTAGAGCACATGCTTAGCATGCACAAGGTCCTGGATTCAAGCCCCAGTACGTCCTAAAGAAATAAACCTAATCACCCCCACCAAAAAAAATTTTAAAATAAAAAAAATTTTAATAATTTTAAAATTAAAAAATAATAATTCAATAAAATATATTTTAAAATAAAAATTAAAAAAAACTGCCCTAAATGTCCGCCAATAATGAACTGACTGGCTTAATAAATTATGGTCAATCCATTAAATGGAATACTGTATAGACACTGTAAAGAGGAAGATAATCCCATATTGGATCATATAGAATTATCTCCAAGACAAATTAGGTGAAAAAACCAAGGTGCAGAAGAGTTTCTGTAGTATGATCTCAATTGGGTTGAAAAAAACAATTGGGTTGTGGTGTGGATATACACTATGCATACTTATTTTATATATTCACCCAAATACATGTGTTTTTTACATGCCAGGAAAATGTCTGAAAAGAAGAAAGGGTATTTCTCACTTTATAACTTGCATACTCTGATATATATATATATATTTTTTTTCCTACCATGATCATGTTGTTAATTCCAGTAAACAACAACAGCAAAAAAAAAACCAAAAAACTTTTTTCCCATCTCAAACACCATGATTAGCCTAGAGATCAAATGTCCCCATGCAGGAGTTCTAAGTCAAAGAATGACTGAAAAATACCGGCACTCTGCCAAACAAATAAATATAAGGTAGCTACAGTGGCACTTGCATCTTCAAGAGTAGTCTCCTAGTAGTCAAATGGACTGTCCAAGTTCTAACTCTAGTTCCGCCATTTCCTTGACCTCAGCAAGTTGCAAAAATCTGTCTAGGCCCCAATTTCTTCCTTTATTAAATGGATGTAATGAATAGCACCCACTGCGAAGGGTGACAGAGTACCCGGCAGAGCATCTTCACACGGCACACAGTTACTGGGAGCCAATAGCAGCTGAAGTTGTAGCAGAGATGTGCTACCCACAAGACCCATTAAGAAGGTTCTGCCGCCTCCTCCCAGTCTTCTCCTGATTTTCCATCTTCAATCCCTTAAACTTTTTTCCTCAAAATTAGTAGTCATCATTATTTTCTTATAAAAAGGATAATTAGACCTGCCGCTTTACTATGAACATTTAGTGAGACCGTTATACCAAGTAATAGTTTACTGTCCTCCTCAATATGGAAGCCTGGGGGTTTGTCCTGATAAGCATTAGAAGATAACCAGGACTTGGGAAGATGAGGAGGAAATGGTTTTTGCTAAACTCTTTGGACCTACACCAACAAAGTTTGGTGGCCAACGACTTCTCTGAGACCCTTAATCTCTCCACTTCACTAAAGCAAATTCTGCGGTTTACAATTATGACAAAGAATAAGGTTTGTCAGGCCGACCAGCTGGGCTCATCAGCCACAGATGCTGCAGATGAAGACCAACAGTTCACTTCTAAAAAAGATTTTGGCACTCACTTCGTAACAGCTCCAATGGGATTACACTAAATGTAAAGACAAAGTAAGTTCCTCCCGCTCACCCAGCACTCTGGGGCTTTTCAAAGCAGGCTCAGAGCAGCCATACGCTGTTCTTGGCCAAATAACCAGGACTGATTCTGCTGGCCTCAGACTCCACAGAAAATTACCTTGCTGGGTATGTGAGAACCTGTCCCCAAGCTGTCATTTCTTCCACTCTGGTGAAATCTTCAGTAGTATTCTCCACTTACAAATGGAGAAACAGTGTCAAAAACACTCAGCCCTGCTCCAGCCCATCCTCTGTGGGCACCTGCCTATACTTTGTTCGCGTGCTCTGAAACAGGTTGTACAATAGGTGAAGGGTGGCCACCTCCACTAACTGTCCGTCCTGGCATCTAGAGAGAGCAGAGGCCTGGGTTTCCTTGAGGAACTAACCTGGTCGTAAAAAAAGAAGCAGGAGTGTTTGCTTGGGAGGGCAACCACGAATTTTAGCACCGTGGGGAGGGAGAGTGCAGAACTCTGGATTGTGGCCCTAGTCAGGACAGAAATGTGAGCATGGCGGCTCAGCTCAGTTTCCCCATCGATGAATAGAAGGACGAGGACTAGCTCATCAGAGATTTCTCTAGGCAGTAAGCTCCTGACTCATACCAAGGACATTATCTCCAGCAAACTGAAGGGGAAAATCCCAAAGAACAACCTCAAATTCACAGTGACTCTTAAACCAGGAGTTCCTGTTTGCCTCGGGAGGGCAGTGAAAAGATAAGCCACAGAAATGACCGTGCAAAGTCTTACATTTGGTACCAGAATCCTGAGGTATGGTCATAGCAAAACAAAGAGGTATTTCCTTCCCAACTGCAAGCTCTCCCTCCCACAAAGACTGAAAGCCCACAGGATTCTGCACTCGGAAAGTTTCCACTTGCCACATCTATGACTGAGACTGAGACTTCTGCCGGTTCAGAAAATACGCACACAATCACTCCCAAATTTCCCTTTACTTTCCAGGCTGAATAACTGGAGAGCGCACAAGCCTGGGGGAGCTGAATCTGGGGCTGGTCTGAGACTGGGTACTAACGGCAAGGAAATAAAAATTAGGAATAATTAACTTGATTCTGCCCCAAATTAACTCGACCCATTTTGGGTGTATGCGTGGTGCGGCGCAAGTCAGCATGGTCCCAGTGGGCCAGGCCCCTGCGGGCTGGGAGGTCTCCCCCTTTCCCTGGACTCCTAGAGCAGGTACTTAGGGCAAAAACGCACAATGCGACCCAAGTGCGTCACGCCACAGAGATCCTACGGGAGGAAGGGAATAGTCGCCGCAGGTTCACCGCCCCCAGCTGACCCAAACTGGAAGACTGTGCTGACACGGAGCACTGGCTCCAGGACGCATGGGGACCAAACAAGACAATAGAGCCATCAGGAAGAAATGACCAGAGGTGGAGGATGAGCCCAGATGTCGGGGATAGGGAAAGGAGAGGACAGATGGAGAACTGGAAGGCGCGCAGGGCAGGGGGCGTGGATCAACTCTGGCCCTGGAGCGAAAACGCCTCAGATACTCTCAGAGACCTAAGTCCAGGCTCCCGGGGCGGCAGCGCTTGGGAACAGCCCCCTCCCGCCAGCCCAGCTGCGACCCCGACTCCCGCGCCCCGCACCGTGTTGTAGAACTCGGCGATGGCAGGCACGATGGTGTAGTTGTCCTCGCACCAGTCCACCTCCGAGCTGCCAGCCCGCAGCTGGTCCCACCAGTGCGGGGCACTCATGGCCGCTCTGGAGCATTGGAGCAGCTGCTCCTGCAGAGAGGAGGCCAGAGCTGCTGCTGGGAACCAACGGAGGTTGTAGCGGCGGCGGCAGCTTTATGCACCACGGGACAGCCGCCGGATGTGGCGCCTCTTCGGCCGGCCTCTCGGGGCTCTACTCCGCCTGTAGGACGTGACTCACTCGCAGACCCCTCCCTCGGCTCCGCCTCCTGGGGGAGCCCGCGGACTGAGAGCGGGCCACGCCCACCCCGGAGGCCGGATGAGCCGGGGGAGGGCCCGGGGAGGGGACCTGGGGAGGTGAGGACCGGTCCCCACACCTCTAGATGTGCCTGCTCCCAGCAGGTGGCAAAGGCCGTGACGGTTGCCCACGTCTGCCCTCGCCCACCCTCGGGCTCAGACTTGCAGGTGTCCTCCATCCCCACTGTGCAAAGAGCACCTGAGCCATCCCGGGCAAAAATTAAAAATAAGGAGAAACCCAAGAGGACCCGGGCCTCTATGGAATCTTGGGAATTTGCACGGACTTCCCTGCACGACACCTGGGACGCCGGCACTCACACCAGAGAAAAGCCCGCAGTCCTTCCGAAGCCACTAAGTGCTTGCTTGGTGCTGTGCGCTGGGGCAGGAAGACCTTAGGGGCTGGAGCCCCTCCCACGCAGCCACTGCCGCCCACTCCCAGGTAGAGCACTTCTGCAATTTTGAGTATTTTCCTGCTCTTGGCCGCTTGGACTCCAGCGTTAGAATTTAATCTAGTCTTCAATTACACATAGGGTCAAACTTCAGCCATCCCGACCTCCACCTCCAGAACATCCCAGGTACAAGAGATGATGACACATAGTCGCACTATGTGCCAGGCCCTGTTTGAACACCCCCTTCGTGCTCCCAGAGGGGGTCCTGTGAAGTGGCTTCTATCAGAAATGCCACTCTAGCCAGTAAGTGGCAGAGATAGAAACCAAATTCGGGATGATCTCAGATCTGCTCATAACTACTTTGCTTTTGCTGCTATAACTATTCTGGAGTTTCTAAATCAAAGTTAATCTGGTCCCAGCCATTCCTAGAGAAAGAAAAAGCCAAACTTTTTGTTGGGTGGTGGCTCAGGCCCTTCTTCCTAGGACAGTTCTAGGATTCCAGGTCAAGGTGTCATGGCAGAAGAGGCCCTGGTCAGGTGACGGTCACTAGGATCTCCTTGCTCCAGCCTGCTTGGTACCCTGAAGGCCAGCGCCTCCTCAAAGGCCGCCCTCTTTTAGGCTTGACTGTCCAGTGGGGCCCTAGCTGGAGCTCCAGTGCCTTATGCCCCCAGTGTCCATTTTCCACAGACATGTGCACAGCCATTTGCTTGTCTTTCCAGATCTATCACTGGCAAAAACTGCAAGGCCCAGCTTCTCTCCTAATCTCCAGGAAATCCAACTTTCTTTCTGGGGAGCCAAACCACATTCTTTCTTTCAACTTTGTCCCAAGTCCTATCCTGTCGTCCTCCTAGACAGCCAGCTCCACTGTGTCCTAAAAATCCAGGACAGAGTGACCTTCTCCTAAGGTCAGAATTACCCAGAGCCATAGGATACCCAGCATGTACTGGCCACTTAAGAAGGAGGAAAATACTTCCTACAGACAAAAAAGAAAAACACATCAGTTCATTTCTCAGTGTGTCACAGAGCTGCACCAACTGACAGTGGTTTTCCATGTTGTCAAGATTTTACTCCTTCCAGTATTTTAGGTGAAAATATGTTCATATTAACTCTAATGATGTAAAACACACCATCATTTCATGTTTGTGGCTTTCAAAGTGTAGGCCCCCTTTCAGGGGACTCAAAGGTCAAAGCTCTTTTCCTGTTAACACTGTGACATTACCTGCCTCAGTCTCTTACCAGTGTACCCTGAAGTTTTTCTGAGGCTACATGCAGTGCTATGTCATTATCTCTCTGGCAGTTAATGGAGTGTGTGCCATTATGTTAATGTTGAAATGGCTTTCTTTGTTATTAAAATCTGTGTGTAAATTTCTAATATGGTAAATATTGATATTACTACATAAACAAAAGTTCTTTATATTCCTCAATAATTAAGAGTAATTAAGTCCTCAAATCAAAAAGGTGAGAGCTGATACTCCCAATTAAATTATTTGTAAATGCTTCTTTATCATCTAGAATTTTAAAATATTCATTGAATGACAGCTTTTAAACTTACATTGTTATTATACATCATTGTGCACACATAAAAAGGAAAATATACACAAAATAAATTCATTGAGAAATTTGTATAATTTCTTTACTCAGAATCTCTATTCTTCTGAATCATGTTTTTGACTCAAAATTATTGATGTCCTTAATTACCAGGTGCTGGTGAGCAGCATTTCTTAAAAGTACTTCACTATTGTTTGCTTTTAAGCCACTAATACCTTGTGGATGCATTTTGATGCTGACACGTTCTTGATCTTACCTGAAGGTGCCAACAGAAGGTTTTGAAACAACAGGCAGCATGTTTCTTTTCCAGACGGTCCTTATGATTTTTTTGCTGGAAACATGGAGATTACAGTTGCCAAGTCATCCCACTAGGAATAACCACTGAGTTTGTGCATGTTCAGGCAGTGACAAAATATCTCAGCCGCCACCTGGCCAACCATAATTATAAAATGCCATTCATTGTAAGATGCACCTGAATTTAAGAGATGTTACAGTGCAAAACAATGTGAATTTTAGTACCAATGAAATTTGGAATTCACTGAATATAATTCATTCCTCTCTCCAAGTCCTGCTAAGGAAATGATAGGGAATTCTCTTCCCCAACAGGAACTCTTACTGTCTATGACAGATCTGCTTCAAAATCAAAGCTGACCACTTGGGTTCTGTCTAGTTACAATTGCATAGAGACAGTGCTCAAGCCAAAAGCCACTGGTGAGTGCTTTAAAGGATGCAAGTGACATTGCTCCAGATACGCCTCTGTTGGTCTTCTTGCAACTGTGTTAACCTTCTGATGTTTTCATCCACTCTCTTCATTGCTAACATTTTTTCAATGAATATAATCTTAGTAATTTAACTTCACAACCTATCATTAGATAATTAATGTTGAAATGGCTTTATATTAGTAGTGTGTTGCCTTAGCAATTACTGTTAATGGTTTAATAAAAAATCTGATATCTGGAGTAAACAGCTTGGGGAGAGTGGAGTTAAGTGGGGAGCAGGGTGTGACAGCAGGAAACAGAACTGCTGATTCTGATGAGTTTGCTTGTGGTGCCTTTGGTCTAAATATGAGTCAGTGATACAGATCTAGGAAAGAGCAGGTTTTGGAGAACCACCCTCCCTTGCAGGGAAGTCAGGCTGCCAGCATCCTCTATTTTTACAGAATATATAACTATGGGTGTTTTTGGTCTAAGTAAATATAATATCCAGTTCAACTGGTTACACAAGTGGGAATCACCAAGTCACAAAGTCTGTCTTGGGGAAAAAAATGCAAACACTCATGTAAGTGAAGCAAGAAGTGTCTGAGCAAAGATGAAATATTCTGTCTTTTCCTGTTTGGCCAGAGTTTTTCATCACTGGTCTTGCTTGAGGCTTACTGTTCAGGCCAGTGATTCTCAAGTTTGTTTCCACATTGGTAGCATCAGAACCATATAGCAACTTGTTAGAATGCACATTTCTAGGTCCATACCCCGCACCTAGTGAGTCAGAAAGTCTGGGGACGGAGTCCCTGCTTACCAAGCTCTCTAGCTGATTCTGCCCTCGCGCTCAAGTCTGAGAATCAACACTTAGCCAATGTGCGGCGAGGCAAAGCCTCACTCTGTGCTTATACACTCTTTGACTATACACTTGGCTTGGATTTGGTTTTCCAGGGAAGCAAAGACCACTGCTGCCCCCAAGGGAAACAGGAAGAAAAGAGCAAGAAATCATCCTTTCATCAGGCTCTTTACCAGCAAACTGGGCTCAGAGTCCGACCCCTCTCCAGCTAGGAGAGGGGGAAACAAGAGAAGCCACCAAAGGTGGTGGTGGTGGGTTTTTTTAAATCTAAGACAAAAAGTCTCCAGGCTCAGAGCTGTGGGAGAGGGTGGCCAGAAGCAGGGCCTCGCCAGGGAAACACGACTGCAGCCACTCCAAGAAACAGGCCCCCATTTGCTGCTTGGGTGCTCTCCTGTTGTTGGCTGACATCTGTCAGAGGCCACTTCCTGCCGTTGTCACTAGGTCTCTCCTCAGAAGTGCCTCTCTCCTTTCTCTAATGTGCACTGGAAAAACCACATGCAATGTTAGGACTGGGTGTATAACAGAAGTAAGTCGATTCTGATTTGGAAGTCTGAGGCTTTGCCCATGCCTGAAGTGTGTGTTAACTCGTGTTTTGACCGCCACTTCTGGAGACAGAATCTGTTCCTTTGTTAGATCACTGTAGCTGGCAAATGTGTAGCAGCAATTCTGAGCACCTGCTTTGTGCCAGGCTCTATATTAAGTGCTGAGTAATATGAGACAAAATCTTGCTCTTGGTCTTGTGGAGCTTAGACGAGCAGAGGCACTCAGGCCATGGGAACACAACACGATACTTGCTAAAATGGAGGTGCATACGTGAAATGTGGAAGCAGACGGGTTGGGGGGGCCAACTCTGCAAAGGAGGCGGCCTCTGTATTGGGATGTGCAAGGTGTAGAGGATTTCACGAGGCAGAGCACTGTAGGGAGAATACTGTCAAAGGAACTGTATCTGCAAAAGGATGGAGGTCCGAGAAAGCATAATAACTCAGGAAACTTCAATACTATGTTTCAGCTGGAAAAATGGCAGAAGAGGAGGCTGAATTAAAGGACTAATAGACAGTGTGAAAAGAGTAGGTCTTTAGGAAGGAAACCTCAATGGCTGAAGAATAAAATAGACATCAGAAACTATTAATAATGTCTCTCAGTAATCTAGGTGCGGGATGACATGGGCATGACTAAGACATGCATTCACTCTTTTACATTGTTTATACAACTACTGAATTAGCTCTGTGCCCTAGATGCTTTTCCAGGTGCCAAGGATACAGTGGTGGGCAAAGCAGATGCTACCTCTGCCCTCACAGAGCTTGCAGTCTGGGGGGAAGTCAGACATTAAATGTTGCATAAGTAACTCATTATAGCTTTGCCACATGCTATGAAAAAGTACAAGTCCCATGACAGCAGAGGGCAGTGGGTGGGATCTTGTCTGAAGGCAGCAG